TGGTAAAACGGAATTTTGAAATCTTTCAAAACAGCTAGTATCTAATATTTGAAAGATATTGGATCCGGCCAAATGTTCAAATCAGCATACCATCCATTTTTTACAAACCTGTTATTATGGTCTATGGATATATTAATATATTATCTTTAGAACACAAAGTYCAATAACTCAAATATCACTTGTTTGAATTTGTATTTACAGGGATATTTACCTAGATTGGCTAGCTTTATAAAATGTTCAATAGGTATAATATTTTCATCAGCATAACAATTTATTGAAAAAAACGGCAATTATTAATTRAAAATTTTCCTAACCCTCAAAAAACTCCTAAATAAGTTCCGAGCCTTGCTTATAACTATAGCTTCCTCGGTTCAGTCGGTTCTTTCTCGCGTGAAACAGTTTTAGTCATATTTCGCACTTGTAAGACGGAGACAACACATGCGGATGTGTCGTCCTCTTAAGACTTAACTATATATAAGATAATTTTACAATTATTATTGTAATATTATCAACTGACGACTATCCATAAATGACATCGCGTAATACATACCTAATAATACTAATAAATTATTATTAATAATTGATCGATGTGTAGAMGTGTAGTATAGTATAAATGCGGTATCAATGCTTTAGGGAATGTTATCGTGATTGCAACGATCAATCAGAATACGATAAAGGCACACGACACGACAGACGACGTTGCGCGTGATACAGCCTTATCGGCATAATTACCTGTCGTTATCTTTACACCTACTTAATTGTTATTCGTTACCTAATCGTTTTTAGATCATGAAAATCGCCAACGAAATTATATTAAATAATAAATATTCATTATTGTTCATAAAAGAAACTTGATAATATTTTAAATTTCAATGGTAATAAAATAATTTATCTTACGAATGTTTGATGTTTACTAACAACGTATACTGTACAGTGTACACATTAAAACATGCGTACATTCAAAAAATTAATAAAAATAAAAAAATGATCATACGTCATAGTATTGTCTAAAGAATACATATTTATTAGTTACAGTCCATTCGGCAGTGGTGTCATTATATCGAGCTGTCACAGCCCGGCTGTGCAGTGTGCGAAGTGCGATTACTGCGATTACTGCGATCACCTACAAAACGCTTTCTCGAATCCCGATTGCCACCACCACCGCGGTACCAGAATAGACGTGCGAGGCCTTGRTGGTGATATCATTCTGACAGCGTTAACGCGGTTACGGTAGCAGTGGGGTGGTCGTTAACATATGTTTAGATAACAAAGGCCAGAGATAACGCTGATGTTATTGTTGTAGTAAATGATTTTCCCAGAGCCGTGCGTACGCGTTACTGTATTTGTTGTAAATTCCGTTGATCTAGTGAACGATAAAATCGTCAATTGAATAAATAATATTCATAATATATCTCATAAGTTTTTGCCAGCGTCATCGTCGAGTTGATATCACCCCGTCTCCGAAAAGATCTTTGAGACGACTTTCGTGTACAGGGAAATCGGTGGAACCGTYTTGGACCAGCTAGSTATAGTCTCCGTGAGGTTATGCGACAGGCGACCGACGTGAAATCCGTCTTCAGCTGCTAAATTATCGAACCGCCGTCATGTCCAAGACATCCGGTTCGGCCGCGTCCGGTTCGTCATCGTCGTCGTCGCAGCAGCAAGTGTCCGGAGTCGCCGCTGTGCCAGCTGAGGATAATTTCGACTTTCTGTTCAAAATCGTGCTAATCGGCGACTGCGGCACTGGCAAGACATGCGTTGTTCAGCGGTTCAAGAGTGGCACATATGCCGAAAACCAAGGCAACACCATTGGCGTTGACTTTTCCATGAAGACCATCAAAATCGATGGCAAAAAAGTCAAAGTAATTATCGCCTCTTTGTCTGTGACACTATGCGATCATGTATAGATGTCCGTAATAATGAAATCACCTTAAGGCGTACTTACTGTAGTTTTATGTTACAGCTCCAAATATGGGATACGGCCGGCCACGAGAGGTTTCGAACAATAACACAGAGTTATTATCGCTCAGCTAATGGGGTGCTACTAGGTAAGCCTTGTTAACATCACAATACAGTACAATTTATAATTTTGTCATTATAATATTATGTTTTATAGTGTACGACATTACAAAACGTGCTACTTTCCTGAATTTACAGAGATGGGTTGAAGAAGTACGTCGATATACTTCGTCTAATGTTTTGCATTCATTAATTGGAATAAATACCTATTATCCAGTAAATTATTTATGTTTTATAGTGTACGACATTACAAAACGTGCTACTTTCCTGAATTTACAGAGATGGGTTGAAGAAGTACGTCGATATACTTCGTCTAATGTTTTGCTCGTATTGATTGGTAATTTTTACAATGTTTTTTTTATATTRAATATTACACTTTTAAGTGGTCTCCCTTGATTTCCTCATAAATAATTTACTGGATAATAGGTATTTATTCCAATTAATGAATATACAAAAGCTGTAGCTAGATTATAAATAATTTACAAAATATGTAGGAAATTAATAAAAAAATATTTATAATAATCCAAAATAAAACCTAAAAACTAATAATTGTATATTAGATATAATATTATACATTTTATACTTTAAATATCTGTATGATATACTTAAAATTATTTGCAATGCCTATAATTTCTAGGTATCTTATCATAAAAATAGATTTTATATTATAAATTATATTTCAGCTATTTACCTATACAAACAATTAAAATGAAACAAACCTATATGATTGATAAATTGGTCTTTGCGATCTATTGTTTGATGAAATGATTACGTTGTTGTGTGGTGAATTATTTGTAGTAATCAATTGATGTGTTTCTATTTTAATTTGTCACAATAGTATTACCTGCTTTCTATCAATTAAAACTACATTTGGGTGTAGTGGCTGGGTGGATTAAGGTTTTGGTTGGTCATGGGCGACATCACTTTCCGGGCAGTTCACGCTGTCTGGAAAGAGAAGCCACCGCTTCCCTCCCGGGCATGGCAGAAACCTACGGGTGCCCACCAGAATTTCTGTCAAAAACACACACATGTACCAAAAACTTACTCAACTTAAAACCCTATAGTACCCTCCCTACACCTAATGGCCTATGTTGCCGCGGGTTAACTAAATAAAAAAAAAAAAAATAATTAAATAAAACTACATTTACATTTTAAATCTATGTATGTAGGTAACAAATGTGACCTAGAGGAGAACCGCCAGGTGGAGTTGTCTGAAGCAGATGCAATGTGCGAATACTTTCCTGAATTATTGTCTGTGCTAGAAACTTCAGCTAAGGAAAATAAAAACATTGAAGAAGCATTTGTCACAATTGCTTCTGAACTTAAGGTATGTGTTAGAATTTTATTATTTGTTAACAGTTCATTCAATAAGAATTTTTACAGAGACGTCATGATCAAAGTGCTCATATAGAAGATGAACCTAATCCTGTCATCAGCTTGAGTGAAGGCGAAAATGTTCAAAAATGTAAAGGCTGTACATTGTTATAAGCTAATATTGTAACATGCTACAGTAGAACAAATCAATATTTGATCATTATAATTCTAAAACCCAAAGACGAAAATGTTTAATTAATTAATTATGCATTCATAATCTTATGGTAACACACTTGTTTAATATGAAACATTTAAAGTTTTATTTAGATTGTATTTAAAAATAAAAAAATATGAGGATAGGGACAGATCATCCCAGAATTTATATACACATTTATGATCCGCGTTAATGCTGTATTTAATTTTATCTTTCTTAACTTGCAATAATTATTCATGTACTTGGACCTCACATTGTTAATCATTCAATCATGTACTATAATATATAATATAAAATAAGATTCTTAAATAGTTTTATGGGGGACCATGGTCATAAATGTTTTTTTCAAGTATCTCACAAGGTCCACAGGTGTATCTATCTTAGAATTATTTTTATCAGTAGATAATTTATTATTRTAGAGTATCAATGATGATTTTTATTTTATTAATCGCTATCGTATTTTAGGATATTGTGTTTGTGATATTATTCATACAACATTTAAGTATCCTGTATCGATATTCTGTAAATAGATATATGTCCTTATCGAGAATATTCGCAGTTTTTTATTTTCTTTTGTTTAATAATTTAATTTTTGAGTGGATGATTTTATTTTATTTTAATTATTACATACATGGTTTTTTTTCTTTAAAAAATTAGATAAATATATCTGTATGTTAATTAAATTTATATTTATACGCATATACATACATTTGTATAACATATTTATTAATTATTACCATATTTTTTAAAAGCACCTCTAATAATATGGTGAAGGTATTTGAATATTTTTTTTTTATTATTATTATTACGTGTAGTGAGAGTAGGGAAATATTAATAATTCTATTATAATATACTTAATACTAATAACTAGTCATGTGAGAATGTTTATTGTAGCAGTTCCTTTCATTGGTTAAAGTGTTTATGATGATAATTTCCCCCCTAAAAATTTGTGATTTTTAATGTYTTACGTGAGATGTATGGTGGAAATTTGTATGTACAATATTATATATCTAAAAAAAAATATTATTGTTTAACTTTTCAATTTTATAGATGTTTTATTATAATTACCTAGCTATTTTTTAATTCCAAAATATTTTATGTTTTTTTTTTTTCCAAAGAATTATCTCAGATTTTATTATTATTATTACTATTATTATTATTAATTGTATTTTATTATTTTTTTACCAATGTGTGCTGTTGTGTTTTACGTTTATGGAAGTGATGGCTACCAATAATCAGAAACAAAGAATTCAAACGAAGGCTCGAGGCGGGAAATTACATAATATTATAATAATTGTCTTTATATTAATATTACAATATTTAATTATATTGTATGTCTAACAATAAAGAGTTTTATTTTTTTTTAAATATTAAATGTTAGAATACTAGACATCTAATTTAATAAACTAACTATTAAACTTAAAACATTTAGACAAAGTTGGTGATTATGTATTATTATTATTTTAAACATTCTTGCTCACTTGTGAAAAAAAAATTCTTTTCTTTCCCTACCTCACCTTCCAATTGTAGAGGTCATTATGATATACTTATTATCAGTTATTTAATGGCTATATTACACTGTTTAGTATATGCAAAATCAATGAACATTTACATCCGTATTAATTAAACACAATAATGTATTTTACTATATTATTGTTATTATTATTATTAMATTTTAAATATTATCAATTATTTACAATAACATTATTGCACAGCTTTAAAAACACTCTTCATAGAATTTACAAATGTTGTTATTTATGATTTTAAAGCTCGTTTACAATATTTTTAAAGTAAAATCACGCAGAATGCCAAAATTTAAAAACTATAGTTAATACTTATTTAACATGTTAATAGAATATTATAACACAAATAAAAATAATTCTCATTAAATAATTTATTATAAACTATTACTATTGTAATGCGATATAATCATATCTTGTACTAAAATTATTGTGAATAGGTCTAGTTTTTAGGGAATATCTAATATAAAATTGTAAACATAATAACAGGATGATTATAATATATTTTATTGTGTAACAGCTAACAATTATAATAATACTATATTATGATATTTTGTAAATCAAATTTATTAAAATTGGCAATATATTATTAATTGTCGTTTAAGATCATTCGAACCAAATTATRACTATTCTCTAATTAGCCTCATTCTCTGTAGTTTATTTATAGAAAATAAATCATAATAATCAATAGAAAATTTATAGAAAATGAAGAGTTAGATTCTGAGCAGAGCGAAGAATATATTGGTTTTATCAATGACATTTATTTATTTTTATTTTTTATTCTGTAAACACTTTTTCTCTCTCCAAACTTGTTCAAAGTTATGAAATATAGTATCTTTTCTGAAAGGTAATGCTCTTGAGCTGGTACATTAGAAAGGTCATTTTT